AAGGAAAGCTGCTGCTTAACACAAAATTATATCAACCAGAACATTGGAGTTACTGCTTCAGGAGAAATTCCAGGCACATCTGAGGCACTGGTGGTGCTGCTAGAGCTTTCTCCCAACTCTCTCACTGTTCCTCTTCCAGCCTCCCTCACCTCCAGTGAATATTTTCGTTCCCCAAGAAAGGCCCTAAGGAGAACCCAGATATGAATGAGACAAGCTTCCAGTCCCTGCACTCCAGAGGTCTGAGAGTAGGGAAGTCAGAACAAGTGTGCATGAAGGTGTAAGGGCCACAGGTTACCACTTCCTGGTGCACAAAAGTCCAGCGGCACCCTAAGGAAAAAGGTCCCTTCCAACAGGGCAGAGGAAGGAAGTCTTCTGGGAAAGAGTAGTCCTTGAAATTAACCTTGAGTAGCAGTTACCATGGCAGCAGGTGGAGGAGCGAGAGACCCCCTTTTGAGCAGAGAGAAACGCTAACCCGAGCAGACAGAAGAGATGATTTGTACTTCCGCACATAAAATGTGAGGTGCTGGTGGAACATGCAGGCGGAGACGCTCAGCTAGGAGGTGAGACTGCCGGCATCGGTATGACAGGTTGAGATGAAGAGCCTTGGGGTCCCGCAGGTCTGGGGTCAAGCCCTGGTTCTACCCCTTTATGTGATTTGGAACCACTTCACAACCTTTGTAGGTCTCCATCGTCTCATCTGTAAAATGGGGGTAACAGCACTACTAGTATCCAACACTGCTGTGAAGATTAAGTGAAGGCGTAGCGCAGGACCCAGAACACACCACACCTTCAGTAAGTATTGTCTACTGTCCCTTTCCCAACAAGCTTTTGTCTCAAAGACACCGCAGTTGTCCTCAGCTCCTCTGCCCCCTGCAGTCACTGTGGGGCAGTGCTCTGTGACCCTCTCCCCTTACTCGGTTGCCTAGTATCCTGCCACCCTCGTTCTTGTCTAATGCACCCACCTTGGGAGCTCTTAACTCTATATTCTAACATACTTGGGCCTCGATAAATGCCATGTCCCCCAATTTTGTCTTCTGTCACAGATCCTAACCCAGAATTCGCCATCCACAGCCTCCTGTGTCCTGATGAGAAGATCATTTTGTATCTGAGGTCAAAACGAGGGGAAGCAACTCCACATCTCAACCAACAGGGCCTGACTTGGCGTCTTAGACAATATATTTCCTTACTATAGAAGTTGTAAAACATTGGGATAATGTTACAGTTTACTACCCGTCCTTTGTGCTCCCCTAGCTCTTTGTCTACCTCTTTATGACAAAATTTATCACACTGTGCTGTAGCAGGCTGTTGATGTGACTGCCCCCCCGCCAGGCCATGGCTCCTCCAAGCCTACCATAGGTGTTCGATAAATATCGAAGGCAAGTTAACAACAGCTTACATCTTTGTCATTCCTCATGTTTTGCAAAGGCCGCAGAGGGAGACGGAGGAATCTGGCTCTAGATTGCTGAGCTATAATTTTTCTCTTGTTCAATGCACCTTGAGTAAGTGCAGCCATCAAAATGGGAAGGAATAACAGGACCACATGCCAGTTTCAAAAAGCAGCAGCTCCCAGACTTTTAGGTCCCACAAGCTCATTTGTAAAATAGGCATTTAATTGAGGGAAGCGAATGGAGTTCCCAGCCCCGTACTTTGCCAATTAGATATTTTAAAGAAAAAATACCATCAACTGTTGTTCTCTTTATTTCACTTAAGGAAGATCTTAAGTGCCACCCCCCCACCCCCCGCCCCTAAAAGAGAAGTGGCGTAAACGGAAGGCCAAAGTAAAGAAAAATGGTCTGCAAACCCAGGATGAGTGTCTTCTTCTGTCCCCAAGGGCAGTGGGCTGGCCCCAATGTCCCAGAGTGTGTGAGAAGCCGTGTCCAGAAACCATATATCTCAGACCACAGAATTATTGGGGTACTGGAATGACTGTTAGAACTTTTCGATCATGGTAAAACATATGTAACACACAATGAACCATTTTAACCTTCTCCCCCTTTTCGGTACTAGGGATTGAGTCGGGGACCTCCTGCATGCTAGGTGAGCCCTCTACCACAGTGCAACAGCCCGGTCCCACTGAACCACACTCGCCTGTACAGTTCAGTCCAGCATGTTCGGGTATTTGCCCAACTCTCACCACCACCCACTCCAGAACTTCTCCTCTCCCCAACGGAAACTCTTGTTTCTATCAAGCACTAACTCCCCACAGGGCCTCTCCTCCATCTCTGGAAACCAATGTCCTATTTTCTCTATGGTTTTGACTGGCGTGAAGCCCCCAGAGAGCACGTGAGCCGAGGCAGGCGTCGGCACCTCCACCTTTGGGAGGCTGGATGCTGCATTCCACAGCACGGATGGTTCACACTTTGCTTCCTCCTCACCTGTCGGCGGGCATGGGGCTTATTTCCATCTTTGGCTACTGTGCCCTATTAAAAGTGCTTGTCTTTGCCATGGCAGTGACCCCGATTGGATAACATTAGCTGGTGCTTTACAAATGAGCGCCACTCGGGGTGCTGGCGCTGCGTCTGCCTCCCGTGGCGCTGCTGTGCATGCAGCTGTCTCTCCGCCCTTCACGAGCAGACACGGGTGTGGGAGCAGTCGCCTTGCGGCACGTGTTACACAGGTGTGTGGTGCTCAGAGACCCTCCACCACAACAGTCTGTACTCTGCCTACAGCGAGAGCTTGCGTGCATGCTGGGGGATACATTTTTGCACACCATTATCTGCACTCATTCGTTAGTGGGAGGATAATAGCAAAAAACTAATACAAATATTTCCAACCCCAATTCCAACAGTCACTGATACTGGTGCCCATCTGATGCAGGAAGCAGGGAGAAATTCAAATACTTCCCCAAATTTTATTCTATTGTTTTAAAAACATTTTATTTTTGCAGGGTGTAGTGGCACACACCTGGAATTTCAACACTCAGGAAGCTGAGGGGGGAGGATCTCCCTACTTCCTATTTATCTCTTTTATTTTGCTCTTTATTTGTAATTTTATATATGATATATAAATATATATTATATTTATATATTGTGTTTTGTGCATATATAATATACAAATATGTATCATACATTTACATATATCATATATAATATATGTACATGCAAGTGAGTTGTAGGGAAAAGAGCAATAACTTCAAGGCTTTGCTGGCTGGTATAGAACTATCAGATCTCGTATTAAAGGTAATCTCATATTAAAGCCGTAAGTTCAAGGCCAGCCCAGGCTACATAGTGACTCTGAGGCCAGCCTGAACTACATAGCAAAACCCTGTCTCAAAAATATTGTATTTCTGCATATTTTATTTTGCATATTACATATGCTAATTCATTTCATTTATACTGCTAATTTACCTTAGTTTATTAAAAAGAAAGTTTTGTGTCAGTATCTGTTTCTTCGTAAGAATCTCTTTGGTCTGTCTTGTACTCTGAATAACTCCTTTGAAGGTAACAAACTATATTAGCTATTGTTACTCTCTTACTGTTTTGTCATGAAATTGTTTATTTTCTTATACAATAAAAGAATACATATAAATTATATACATGCCTGATCTCAAATGTGTGTTTCTACTATTAATCAGTGATTTGTCTTTAGCAAAACAACCCCATCCTCTCACTGCAATGGATATTATTGTTAGCGTGAATAGCACGGGGTTTGTAAGCATAAGGAAGAGACACTGAAATGCACCTGAAGTAGCAGCCAGCACCAGGAGGCAGAGGCCGCATTCTCAAGTCTGAGCAGCAGCATAAACATAGGAAGCACAGGGCAAGCCCAGCTCTGAGTGGCCCTAAACAGAGTCCACAGATACCACGGCTGCAGAACACCATCCAGAGTCGGCCAGCAGCCCTGAGGGTGCACCAAGAGGGGCGACCCAGAAGACACCAAGCGCAAAGCCCTGGTTTTCCACTTTCTTTTCAAGCTGCGACCTCTACTGCAGCCATGGAGAATGACATCACTCCCCTCCGCCGCCTGGGAAGGGGAAGCAGCTCTCCAGGCCCTGGGAGATCCCTGGGCCCTGTGATCACTAGCACAATGTGACCTTTTTTATGCAAAGGTAAACACGCCACCTGTCACCTCTGAAGACTTGGCCTGGGGGTCAAAGCACATCTGGAATCTGCCTACAAACGCAGTCATGAGATTAACGGTGAGCAAGAAGACAGTAAGCACCACGCCTCCAACTACCATTGACAGAAAAGTCCACTCTTCTGTGGGCACACTTGCCCCTGTACCTGGACACCTGGACACCTGGATACCCCCTTCTAACCTCTGCACTTCGAAGGGCCAGAGACCAACTCTGGAACCCCTCAAGATACGTGTCAGCTTCGCTGCAAGCCCAGTGTGTGGTTTTTTCCCTGTCTTTGTCAGGTAACAAAGTCCCCTCTCATGACAGGCTTGGGCACATCTGGAGGCTCCTGAGTCACCTCTTACTACTGCGGCCACGAGTCTCAGCATTTTAGGCTAGGGGTTAGGGTCATAAACTGAAATCCTGGAAACTCATAAATATACCGGAAATGTTCAAAGCTGCCATTTTACCCAGAAAAGTTCAACTTCCCAGAAACAAAAAGGAAAAAGGGAAGCACGAGACTGTTTTGTCCTGATGCTGGGTGAAAGCAGCTACCTTTGATGGAAAGGTAAGAACACCATATAAAGTCTCCATCTCACAAAAGTTATCTCACCGAAACCTATGGAAATGAGCTTCCTGTGTCTAAGGTTCACGATATGGGTCCTCTCTCTCCCAAGTTCCGCAGCTAAGGTGTGGTTCAGTGGCCCTGAATACAGACGTGACTGCTGTGTTTTGAGAAGGGGTAAACTGACTTCCCAAGAGGACTTTGTCACATGAACCCAAGTGTGTTTCATCTCGCACCCAAGCCAGGTCTGGGAGGCCCTCCTTAGGCACAGGCTGCACTATTTCAGCAGTGCTCCGGGTCCCAGCTCCTCTGGTGTGGGCCAGGGCCTAGCAGCACAATGCGATCCTATCACAAGCATCCCAGCCCTCCTCACTTTACCTCGGAAACCAGTTTTGCTGACTGACGCTGCTCTCTTCATAGCCTTATCGGTCTCTTCTCCACTTCCGATTGTGGATCTGATCTCCGGCCAGCCCGACATTCCTGTGTTTCGGCTGTCTGGCTGAGGGCATTTTCCTTTCGCCACTTAACAAGCAGGTTTCTGCAGCCTGTGGACTGTGTTTGCTTGTTTCCAACACAAGGCCGGATACACCAGGCTTTCTGGGAAGTTTCTGGTTTTTTCAGGGAAGTAAGCTTCCCATTTTTCAAAATGCTGTCCCAAAGTGAACATGACATCAGCTGAATTTTAAAAAACAAGTCCACCTTCCTAGAGAAAGGAGACAAAAAGAAAATTTTGTTGCTTGCCATTGTACTTGATAAGGTTGAACAAAAATAGAAGTCTTCCAAATTACGTTTTTGCCCCAACTTAGCCCCATCAAAATAATGTCATTTGTCTTCCAGCAGAAAGCTTTTATTAATATACTCGTTTCACTATTAGATCTTCACTCTCACCTAAACTAAGTGTAAGACAGTAGTCAGCTGTCCTACTGTAACGTTTTTCTATTTTACTGTTTCCCTTAGGATTTTACTTTTACATGTGGAATTTAATTACATGCACACATATTCCTACGCACCTCCCTAAGCCAGCTTGAGTTTATCGTTTTCCTCCAAGCAGTGGAACCCTGTATCCCATAAACAGCTCTGGTAAGGGCATATCTGAGCCAACCTTTTCTTTGGCTGCCTTTCAGAAAATTGTTTAAAACAAGATATGCTCTTGAACTGGAAAAAGGCATTACACACGATAACCTCAGAAAGCAGCTACTTGCTTTCCCCAACTAGTATCACTGCACAGCGCTGTGACTTCACGTGGAATGTGTCTCTGATTACAGGCCAGAGGCAGGCCAACCAAATGGCTCAGCTGAGGTAAAATTAATTTCAGTGTGACATGACTGTTGCGAAATGTTACACTGAATATGACTATAAAACGCTTAACAAGAGTATGATAAGTATGAAAAGGATAACAAATACTTAATTCTATTTAAAAATGATTCCAATTATTGTCCCTTCATCTCACAAACCAATTTCTCCCAGTAGTACTTGATCTGGGAATCACTTTCTCTCTCCACTCCCTGGAACAATGATCATATTTGTAAGAAAGTAGCCTGTGCAGGTGAAAGGTCTCTTTTTCTCTAGGTGGACCCAAATAGAACCATTAATCTGACACCCTAACAGCAGATTTACCCAAACTGTCAAATAAGATCCCAACCTTACTCTCCCCGACAACCAAATAAAAATGTCTCTTCTTTCACAATCTGTACAAAGAGGCAGAAGCAAGCCCAGATTCAGGTCAAAATGCAAACCTACGGCCCGGCCCCAGCCTCGGTGGAGTTGGTCTACAGATTCATAATGTCTAATAAGAAACCCAAAGCACACACCCTCCCTTTGTTTGGTTAGCAGTTTTCCCTTCCTTCTGTGACAAGAAATATGAAGAATTTTGTGAGCTGCAATTTTTAAAGATCACAGCAAAGCTGCCCGGCCTGGCTCCTCTAGACTTCATCTACAAGACTCAGGGAATCTAGGGGAGTACCCCGCCCCCAGCAACAAGGAGAAGACAAGGATCAGATCGTCGCTTCTCCAAGGCCTGAGCCTCACCAGCACCAAATTTCTCCCTCTTTGAAACATTCCGTATAGGGCTGGGGGTTTAGCTCAGTGGTGCCACCCCCTGCCTCGCAAGCACAAGGACCTGAGTTCAGTCTCTGGTACCAAAAAAAGTAAAAGAAAAAATTCGATACAGCCTCAGCCCCAGAAGAGGTTCCCTCATGCTGGGAAGAAACTGGGGGGTGGGGGTCCTCCGGGGAATCCTGGTTGGGAAGAACTCCTTGAATAAAAGGGACCCCACGGAGTTCAGGTTGGCTTCATGCCCAGCACCCCAGGTGCCTGGAGCATTTTTTTCAGATTCAGCCATCAGCACAAGCTCACCTTCTCATTCTAACAAAACTCTCCCAGACCTGGTTCGGTCTGGGGCACCTCATCTGCCATGGGAGCCATGGGAATCCTTCCCAACTCTCAGAATAAAGAAGGGCTGCAGGCCGCTCTTCTGGTACCGTCGGAATTGTTTTGATAAAGCAGATTCTTCTTTTATTTCATGTTCTCAATCCGTGTTCTCAATCCAAGTACGTAAAGCAGTTGGGGTTCACTGGGAGGCAGTGTCCAGTGTCACCGTTCCTTATAACCGGATGTTCCCCAGAGAAGAGAACCAATTCGATCCATGATAATGAATCTAAAGAGAAAGAAAAAAAAAAAAAAAAAAAAAAAAAAAAAAAAAACTCTATCTTCTTCCCATTCTCCTCTTTGGCGTTTGCAAAGCACAGGGTACTGATTGAATGCACAGGCAAACCTTATTCCAGTGTTATTTCCCTCCCTGTGTGTCTTCTCTGACTTTACCTAATCTGACTACAGTTTTACCCTATGGAAAGAAATACCCAAAGCACAATTTGCACACAGAATACTCTAACTCCAAAACTGAAAGTAAGTCAAACAGCTGAAAATTAAATTCAGAATTTTTATTTTTAAAAAATACAAAACTGCCTCTCCACCACCCTTTACGATATTCAGTACCCAACGATTCCCTATAAATAGTTGTCAATAAACACAACTGCTGCGAATGTATTCAGTAAATGTTAAGGTCAAAGGCCTTCACTGTTTATTGCCTTGTAAACTCAAAGACAAGTGAATTTATTGCTTGAATGAGTTTCAGGGTATTGGCCTTCATAAAAGTTCTGAATCCCAGGTACAAAATGCTCCATCAACTCACACCAAAGCTATTCCGCACGGGGCTCGGAGACCGCCCACCACTGGATTCATAATTCAAACCCGTCTCGGAAAGTGTATTGTTTGCCATGTTGCAGGAATTCCCATGGATTAGTGCTGCACCGTGCCTGTCAATATTACAAGGACTTGCTTCAGCGCAACTATAAATTGCTGCTGCTTCCTAAGCCGGGTCACGTATTGGCCCACCAGAGCGAGCTCTCCAAAACAGAACTGAAAAGATATTAAGGAAGGAAGAGTTTGGAGCTTTCCTCTAGTCTTTACATATGGAGTACATCCAAAATCTTCCTGGTGCAAAATTTGTCAAATTCCAAAGGACAACTTTCGTATCAGATTGTATAGGGTTATGTGGGCAACTTCGGGTAGTTACATTTTTGTACTATATGAAACCTAGTTGTGATAATCTTTTGAAATGTCATTTGGCTGCTTTCATATGAGTATACTTAGTAGAAGAGCAGAAGGAGAGATTATAATTCAATTATTGAACATAGTTTACCTTTAGAAATGTCTGCAAAAGATTTATGGAAGAAGTTCAAAGTTATACTTTAAAAAGTATATACATGAATTTGCATCTTTAATTGGTCTATGCTAATATTTATCTAATCATGTAGCTATTTTATATTTCTATTTCTATAAAGCTATTTCTATAGAGCTCAACGCTGAGCTCAAGAAATGTTGAGTCTGCCATCTTGGGTGAGACCAAATCCCATGTAATATACAAAGCTATAAAAGTATTATCAGGAATGCAACATTCATCACGAAGTCTGAAATGAAATCAAACTCAAATCACTGATGATAAAAATAAAGTTATCTAGACTGATATTCTCTGTGCCTGGATGGCTACAGCCTCAAAGGATGTTACTGGAATCTCACCTAGCATACCTAATTACCATGACATTAAGTACCTTCCAACTGTCAAAAGACAGGGTATTTTATAATGTAATACATGCATTATTTCCCTTTAAAAGTGCAGGTTTGGCTTAATGTTGGATTATGCTATTTTTTTCTTTTTACATAATACAGGGAAGAGTTGAATTCTTAATCTTAGTTCTCTCAGGTGAAATAGTACACTACATCATCTTTGTGCTTCATGAGTTTTCTTCAACCAAACAAATATTAAACCACTCTAATTTTCTCCAAAGCAAAGTCATAATCAGGAATTTCTCCTTTCTGTGAGATCATACAGAATAATTGAAAGATAGTAATTTTTGTTATTTTATACCACAGTTGCTCAATGAAAATTAATTATATTAGATGACATACACCATCCTGTGTAATAAAGAAATGCATATCCTCCCAAAAGCATTTATTAGGTATCTACTCTGCATCACTACCCAATTGAGACAGGAACACAGATCTCAAGGAATGGAGAGACCAGCAAGGTGGCAAGTGTAGTGTGAACACAAACAACCCCAAGGCAACACAGCAACAGCAGGACCTCAGGAAGAGTGCAGAGGCAGAAGGCAGAGCAGGAAGACTCCTCTGTCTGCACATCTACTGAAAACTCTACTCCTATTACTCTTTTAAAAGTTTTAGACGTTGGGTATTTATTCCAGAGATATAAAAACACATTCACACCAAACCATACATGCATGTGCTTGCCAATTTTATCCAGAATAGCTAAGAACTGGAAACAATCCACATGCCTTTCAATGGATACATGAACAAACTGGCAGATCAACACCATGGAACACAAGTCAGCAATAAAAAAGGAGCAAGCCATTAATATGCACAAGGACTTGGATGAATATCCAGGAATGATGCTGAGTCAGAAACAGCCAGTCTGAAAAGGTTTTATACTGTATGATCCCATCTATATAATGCTTTTGGAGGAACAGATTAGCAGTTGCCAGGGACAGGAGGAAGGTGGGTGTGGCTATAAAAGAGAAAGGGAAAGGTGCCTGAGATGGATCAACTGCTTGGTGTCCTGAGGGTAGTGGTGGAGACGTGGACCCATACACGTGATAAGATTGAACAGATGCAAATATATGCACACGCGTGCATATACACACACACAAATTAGTGCTAAAAATAAAAGGACCCTGAACAAGATCACCAGGTTGCATCGATGCCAGCACTGAGTATGATATTATACTAGCACTGAAAACTGTTATCCTTGGGCAAACTGGGAAAAGAGGACAAGGACTGCTCTGTAAATCACTTATAACTGTGTATAAATCTAAAACTATCTTAATAAAAATGTCAATTGAAATTGTTTTGAAAATTACATTAAACTTACGTGTGTGGCAGATTGTTAATGATGAGGCACATGGTCACATAAAGAGAAAAGCACCCACTGGATCTATCCAGTTAAAAACCACCTGTGCTAAGCTGGGTAGGCAGCTTACCGTGGACTTACAGGCTGTCTAGATACCACTAGGAAGTCCTACTTTGGTTTTTCTGAGCAGCTTGGGAAGGACCATTTGTCATTCGTGAATCTTGCTCTGGGGCATCGAGAATGGTGAATTTACTTTTCAACTCATTTTTATAGTCTGTACAATAGACAAAAGAATCCTCATTAACTAATGCACTACCTGATACAGGCTTTCAGTTTTCCAAATGACACTACAATAAAGACGTGCAGGACATAAAGACATCAACTGAATCCAAGTGACCTGTACCTACAAATATGTTAATTATCTGCTGCTGAAAATACCGAAGGGATTAGGAGGACGGGAGGCAGCTGAAACCTTCCTTCGTGCCGGGAACACTGGGAAGCGGAGCTCCAGCCACACTCTGACACCAGCAAAGGTTCTCTCTTGTATCCTTAGGCTCTTTGGGATCTAAGGCATTTTTGATAAAGATGGACCACATGATCAAGGCACTGATTACATGTGTGAGCACAGGTAGGAATGTATTTCATATAAGACAATTTCACGTTTGAAAAGTGATCCATAGTCTTTCAAATAAAGACATTTCTACAGAAGCACTCTTTAGAATAAAGCCCCTAAGAAGCAGAAAGGCTTTTAATTACAGAGCCCTTGTTAATGGAGAGTCTATGAAAAATGATGCTGTGCTGATCAACTATTGACAAAACCTAAAAAGAAGTGTGTTTGTCTATAAACTGAAGGAGGAAAGAGGGGACAGAAAGACCCACAGCCTTCCTTCACCAGCCCGTGACAGCAAGAGCCTCTGTTTCTAGGCAGTGTAGATCAGGGAGGAGGAAAGCACAGTTTGGAACCAGAAGTGGATGAAGTGGCTTTGGGAACCCCAGTCTGTCTGATCTTATTTTCTGAGCATTCAACTGGAGTTCATGACCCCTCCTTTACCAAATTTGCCAGACTACTATGAGAATCCAGTAAGAAATGGTACATGATGGCTTAAAATTTTTAAGGCTCTGCAAAGATAAGGGATTATTAGGAGTAGTCTGAAGAAACATCTATTATTAAAAAGTCAACAGAGAACACTTTCTAACTTAAATCCTGAAGTGTGCTTCTAAATCAAAATGCTACCTGCAAATCTGTAAAGAAGGAGAATATATCCAGAAAGAATATTTAATCCCTGAACTGGTTTTCTTTGAGAACCCACAATTTACCTAGTCTCCTACCAGGTTCAGTAGGCCATAGGAGACAGAGTAGTAAAATGATTTGAGCTAATGAAAGTTAATACTCAAAATAAATTTCTGAGAGGATAACTTTATATTTCATCGATCAGCCTGTGAGTTTTAAATCTGTGTGAAAAGCGTCGCCTTGTGTCGCACTGCTGTTTTGTTTTGCATTACGAGGTGGGATCTGAGGACTGAAGTTCCCATTAGCCACTGAGAATGTGGAGAGCAAAGGAAATGATGGCTTACTATCCAGACAGGCGGATTTGGGATCACCAACGCCAATACTCTGCTTAATAAAACACTCAACAGGGACGGTACATCCACGGGCCTCCCACCGTCCCTGCCGGATTCAGAAAAAAGGCACGGACAAAAGTATTTCTTTTGGCTCCGTGTGGCTTCCTTGCACACTTAGGCCAACATCTTCGATGAACAGTGAGTAGGCAACACTGCCGTCCAGTGGCAACTGTGTTTTAAGACTCGAAAACTGCCTAGCATGCACAGTATTTCAATAAGGCAGGGTCTGTTTGCCCTTGGGCTCAAGGAAGCGCCAAGAGATTATTTTCAAAGCTTTGGTGGAGGCACTAATTAAAATTCCACATATTAGTAATGTTCTTGCTTAGCACTGTTGAAACAATTCAGAGCATCTGCCTCCCTTCTGCAGGTGGGAATCCCGCTAGAGCAATTATGTATTCAAACAACGTCACAAGATAGCTCTGAACCTCATGGCTTGAAGTAACCCTAACCCTCTGCTGCATCGTCAAAAGCACACTTGGTAGGCAATGATCCTACACAAAAGAAAAGCAAACTTGTGTTATACAAAGCAGTTGTTCAAAGGTGCTTATGAACTTAAGAAATTTCCAGGTTTTTCCAATTAAATCAGTCCACTCATTCCTTTCCTACACTGC